GAAAATGGGCTACCTCTGCACCACCACTGTGGAGCCCTTCAACTGTGCGTGCAGCACCAAATCTGTATTTCAGGAAGTCACAGTGGAAGAAAACCCCAAACAACATGGATAATAATACCTAATCAATATTTTCTGATGAAAATATGCAGCACTTGCTGTTTTATCTCATCATTTGATTTTGATAGCTGGGGAAAATATGGCAATATATACTGATACTGCAATATCGTGATAATATCGTACATGTATCGAATCGCAACACTCATTCCAATACTCACCTCTAGTTAGCAAGATGCTTCCAACAAAGCGGCCACAATCAAAAAGCTTGAGAACTTTCCGCCACAACAATCCCGCCCCCTTGATAATCGACCAATCACATTCACTTTATTCACTCGTGTAAAGTCGTGCACCACTCGGGAGAATTCGGAAATGCAACGATTGGAACAGCCACTTCCCTACGACTTTAAAGGAAAGGAAAAACCGTTAAAGTTCCGTGTCTGGATGAGGAATGGTTTTAATCAGTCACAACCCACTTTAAAATCAATTTCTACCTGTTTGGATGTTTTGTCACATATCTGACCACATCATTTATAATCAATCCTACTTTAGTGTTTTAAATTCGCTCTAAGGTCGATGTAATTACTGATGTAAATCGTGTGCTGTCGCCACGTTCATCGTACGCCACGCCGCTGCTCCTCCTACTAATGAAACAACCTTTCTTCCTTTCTTTTTTTCCTTCTTCAATCTATTATTATTTGTGTATTTCTATGCAGAGCACTGCAACACATTGAGCTAAGCTCTGCTCCGAGACAGATCAATGCCAAAATTTATTACATCTCAAATTATTGAGGCCGAACTGCACAACACAGCCGTGAAAGTAATTGTCGTCACAGAGAAGCACGCGGAAGCTGCATTAAAACTGCAGCTGGCAGCTCTGAGCTTCAAGCACAAGCAATATGAGAACAAGTGCAGGTTATAAGATTCCAATAGTGAAAGCTCCAGGCATTACCAGGGGGTGAAGACCTGAGAAAGCTCAGTGAAATCCTCTCGCTTGGAGCTCCACGTTTCTCTACTATATTATTTTCCTTCTCTTCATCTGTTTTTTCTTCTAAATGCTTAAAAATGTCAAGTCAGTTTTACACTTCTGGAATCTTCTATTTTTGTTTTTGTTTTGTTGTTTTTAAATCTATACAATTAAAAAGTGGATGAACGTGGGTCAAGACAGTGTTTTTTCTTTGGCAAACATTCCTAATAGGCTTGAAAATGAAGAAAGAAAAATTAAATTTACTTATTCTTTAGTCATCCTCCTAAAACTGGTATTACAGAAGCTTTTTTATTTTATTTCAAGTCTCAGTGTGTAAACACTGAAGAGTCGATAGGAAATAATGTGTGATGGATTTATTTTTTTACACCATTAAGTTAAATGTTTGGAGCTAGAAAAATACATCTTTTTTTTTTCTCCTTTGCCAGCTAGGATTTCAGGAGTGAAATATTTGCTGGAATTTTCATCACCTAAATGTGTTTTTGTTTTATTTCCAGTCGGAGAAGTGTTGTCTTTTTCTCATTTTGCCAGCAGCCTGTGCTCCTCGCTCAGACTGTGACGTTTTTGGCTCATTTATTTACTTCCCTCCTCAGAATCAGTTTGAAATAATAACTGGAGAAAAACAATTTTCTTTTTTCGATGGTTTTTGTTGTGATTTCTACACTGGAAAAAATCTAACTCTAGATAAGTCATTTTTTTCTTAAAATAAGTGCATTTTCTTCTTAAATTGAGAAGGTATAACAGACATTTTGCCAATGGAACAAGACAATTCACATTTAAAAAAAAAGGAAACACAATTGCATTTTTATTATTTCAAGTGCATTTTATCTAAATATCTTATTTTAAGAGTAAAAATACTCATTCCATTTGCAAATCATCTCATTAACCTACTAAAATTAAGGGTAAATGCACTTAATTTGAGACAGTTTTACTTATTTCTAGATCGTTTTCCCAGTGTAAGTTTTCCTGCTTTATCCTGGACTTCTAGATGCTGCCATTATAATGTTTTTATTTTAACTTTTACCAAATGGATAAGGCATATCCACTGACTAACTTTACTTTTCTCCTTTTTGTGAATTTTCTATTACAGATTTGTTCCTGACAACTGAAGGGGACACCTTTGAGATCTGGCTCAATAAGGTAATAAACCTTACCTTAGATTTCAGATGTAGCTTTTCAAAATAAACAGAGAAAATACTCTGAAACCGTTTAATTGGTCCTGTAGCTTTCAGGTAAAAATGTTGGAGAATGATGCATATGAGGTTAAATAAACATTGCTGATATCATTTAGACTATTTAAGCTAATCATGCCGTACATATCTTGGATAAAACAGCAGAACTGAATCATATCTGAATCATATGAATGCCTGAGAAAATAACAAATAATAAAAAGTCATATGTAAACTGTATTATGTGAGTTTTCATAGTTTACGTTTCTACAGCTGCTGGCTGTCTCCACAGTTCAGGCTTTGGGAAGATTCAAGGCCTTTGTCACACCAACTCACAGTTACATGATTATGCTAATAATTATGGTAATAACCGAACTCAGCTCCAGGATAAGAATACAATAACAAGGACTAAAAGCTTGGTGATTAAAGACGGAAAGGAAGAAGGAGGCAGGGGGAGATGCAGGAGTCTACAGTGGGGTTTGTTGAGCTTCAGGGGAGAAGCTGTTTCTAAGGCTGTTGGTCCCAGTCTGAATACTCCTCAACCACCTGCAGGAACCAGGGCGCCCACTGTCCCATACTTTTTAATCGTTCCACCCAGCTACAGCTCAAACTGTACAACGAAAATGCAGGGTTAAAGTTCACAGCTCAGGATGCATGTTCTCCCACTGCGGCCCGACGCTCCGATGCAAACTTACGACGGCCGACTGAATTTCAAACATGTTTGATTTTCTCCCCACTAACGATTCCTCATAAGGAGGTGGTTGGGAGTGGCGGATCACCACTTGTTACCCCCTGTTAGGGTTGTCACGATACTAAACTTTTCAACTCGATACCGATACTAAGGAGAATATTCGATACCACAAGGATAAAAACAAAGACTCCAAAATTCAACAGAAATATTTTCATTAATAAATAAAATACAATAAACAATAAGAATAATATTTTGAGGTTGTATGCTTTGCACATAATTAAGCAAGCTTGATAAAAAACTTACAAAATTAAAATGAAGTGTTCCTTCCTTGGCTATGACACTAGCCAAACCAGTTAACAAACAAAAATAATTCTCAGCAGCTGCACCTGTTACAAAAAAAAGTCTGAAACTGAAAAGTGCGTAGAATTATTCATTCACACAGTGTTAAAAAAGTGCATTGTCCTCTATTCTGCACTTGATGAATGAATGTTTAGGTACCACTGGTGGTGGCTGTTGGGTTTTAATCCAGAGAAATGTGAGTTTAAAAGATTAAAAGGAAATAATCAACACAGAGACAGGGTTTTTTGACGTCAGCCTCTGCAGAAGCGGAGAGAAGGCGTTGGCTCAGAAACCAGCACCTTCTCACACGGATCCCTTCATGGCAAAGCCTTTTATTAACATTTACAACATCATAAGGCGGGCCTAAAACAGAAGACCTAGTAATGATTATCTGGGAGGATGCAGGTAATGAAATAACTGGCTGGATGGAAGTCACACAACCGTGTGATTCTGCCTCATGACCTACTGGAGGTCATAAAAGTTGATGACCCTTTTGGTTGAATCACAGGATACAAATGAAGCATCTTCTTTCTTTCAATGTTTCATATGTCCACACAATAAGGCCCCGTCCACACAAAGTCAAAAC